TTTTGTTTGTTTTTTTTTTTGGTGCATTCTCCCGTCCCCCGGAGTTTTTCCAGGTTAACACGGGCATTGACCGAGGAAAACACCGTCTGCTCCAAAGATTTTTTAAAAAATCAGGTGTTTCTCTACTTAAAGCACTTCTCGCAGGCTCTAAGTCTCTTTGTGAAATAACAGCATATTTATATTGTTATAGCTGTTTCATATCAGCATTTACTTGCAAAAAAAAAAAAAATCAGCATTAGAGGCTGGTTTTTGAGCAGGAGTCAACGATCTAATGAGTTTTTTTTTTACTGAAAAAAAAATCTCAAGTGCAGGAAGGCTGCAAGTACACAAACGTTAAACAAAAACACGCTCGTGAAGTGTATCTTTTCTTCTGTCTCCAGAGATTTCAGGATCACTCCTGAAAATACTAAAAGTGCTGTGGGTTTTGGTCATTGGGAGTTCCCTGGTGATCATTGGGGTGCCTGGATGAGCAAAAATCTGATAAAGGGTTTCTGTTAAGCGAAGGGGTCACCTGTGCTGCCCTAGCACAGCCCTGGGGATGTCAGTTTTCCGTGGAGCTGGCTAAACAAAAGTAACTGCTTAGCAAAAAGTGAGATAAAGAGATTCCAGACAGGTATACAACGCAATTAACACACACTTTTCACTCTTTGTGGATTGGTTTTATTTCGACCACTATAGTTTGCTGTCTTTTTTTTTCTGGCATTATGGTATCTTTTACCTAAATAGTTTAAGCATGTCTAAAATACATGTGTTTTTTTAAGGTAGTTTTGTCACTTACAACACACTTCTCAGTTTTAGAATCTCTTTTTGCCTAGAATAATCTTCCAGTGTATTTGGGGTGTTAAAACTTGTTCCCTGTTGCCAGCTGAGCCACTCTCTGACCTTGGGAAGAATTGCATGTTATTTCAGATTTGCTTTAAATTTACACAAAACACCAAGGCTATGAATCACATACCAGATATTCCAGATAGAGGATTGGACATAGAGAGCAGACATGCCCAAGGTGGGGGAGAGAGAGAAAATGGGAAGTGAAGTAGAATGCCTTTGAAACATCTCTGAACACGCCAAAGAGTAATTTAACCTGGCAAGGATCCACGGGCTGTGTATTAATTTGGCTTTTGAATGTTTCTTGTCTTTTGTCCCAACTTTGAGGTAGCCCTCTTAAACAGGCCACGCAGAGGAGCGGTGAAAATGACACAGGTTGATAACATTTGCATCTCTCATAACACCGACACCAAAAATTATTGGGCGGTGAGTATTGAGTCAGTGGCATTTAGAACAATCTGGGCAAAACTTGGTTGAAAGCAGCCCAGTTTCCCCTCCTTTTTCCCAGCTCACAGCACAGGTGTGTGGACAGCTTTGCCCATGACAGAAGCAGCACCTGTGAGCCTCACTGGTGCAGGGTTCCTCCTGCGCGGTTTATTCGTGCCCTGGAAGTGCCAAGCCCCTGCTGGCACATGCTGCTCTCCAGTTTTTGGGAGAAGCAGCATCAGGCAGGGCTGGGAAGGCGAGCAGGGCCTTGCCCCAGTGCAGGGGAAGGGCCTGGAATGAGGAGGCAATTACTGCCACTCCCTTGGGAAGAGCAGGCAGGGGCAGAGGGAGGCTGAGCACACAGCACAAGCCCCTGTCTGTTCATGGTTTGTGATTTTACAGCTCTGCTTCTTTAGTGTTTGACTCAATACTGCTGCACCACCAGAAAGCAGAGAGAATCTTGATTCTGGGCTCCCTTTAGCTCGTTGGTCCTGTCTGTCCTGTTTGTTATCATTGTAATAAGTGAGTCAGTTCTGCACCTCTGCCATTGCAGTGGGTTCCAGGGGCACTCCCTCAGCTGTGCTGGCCTCTTGGCTAATTACCATTCCAGAAGTGCCCCTTCCATGAGAGTGGTGTCTTTGCTGCAGCGGTGCAGACCCATGACTGTCACAAAGCTGGCATTGTGCTGAGTCTTTCCCTCTCTTGTGCAACAATGGGGTTTATTCAGGGAGAGCAGAATCATCCTTCTCGGAAAAGACCCACGAGAAAAACAAGTCAGGAGCCCCAAAGCAGAGCACTGGGGCTTTACCAACCATCTTCATTGTTTCCATCCCCAAAAACAAAGTTCTCTGTGAGATCTCCCACAGTTCATCCTGATGAGATTTAATCACCAGGGTTTATTCTTATGTTCTTGAAAGTTACTGAGCAGGCCTGACTGAGTTTCTCTTCCTCAGCGCCGCAGTCACATTTTGGGTCACTTTGGCAATGCTGAGTTTCAGTTCAGGCCAGGTTCCTGATTCTGCAATTGTGCCTGGGTGGTGCTTAGGCTGGTGCATCCAGGGGTTCTTTCCTTGTGCTGCTTGCCCTGTTAGTGGATTGTGCAGAAAAGTGGCAAAATGGATCACAGTCCCTGAGGGGCAAGGGCCAAAACAGACTCTGAGATGAATGCTCTAAATGGCTGTGCTCCCTGGGTAGAAACTCATGGTTCTAAGGCAGGAAATTAAAAAAAAAAAAAATCATCTTTTTATACATCACTTTTCAGTATGTTCCAAATTGCTGTTATATTTGCTGAAAGGTTTTTATGAAGCTGTAATTTTCCTGTTTATGAAGGAGAGTGAATTAGTTGCAGCTAAAGTAGTCTGAATTCGGTCCCAACCACTCAGATATTTTAGTAGCAATTTGCTCAAGAATTCTCACAAGATTTCACATCCTTCTTTATGAAATCTTTTCTCCAAGACTACAACAAAAGTTAGCCACAGTATGGTTGCACTGCTTCCCCCAAAATCACAGCCCTCATAGGCTGCAGGCTGGGAAACACCAGCATTAAAACAACAAATAAACATCATGATGCAGGATGGTGAAAGCTGCAATACTGTGTAATCTCTTTTCTTGGAAAAAAGTGACCCATTGAAATGCTCAGGGGTTTCCCTTCCTGTAAATGGGGATAAATTAGCTGCAGACAGGAAATAATTTGTTGGAGGATCCTTCCCCATGGACTCCATGCAGCTAATCCATTCTGTCTCACTAGAAAGTGCAGCCTGCTTTATCTTTAGCTGAGATTTGTGGCCAGTCATGTCACCAATTTCCTCTGGCACAACCTTCTCTTACCCTTTGAAAACTTTCTTTTTTTAACTGGTTAAGGTATGCCTGTGGTTTGTTCTATTTGGTGGAAAGACTTTGAAACATTCAAGTTGAGAGCTTGAATAAAGATGTTTTGGCCCTGCATAAAAGTAGAAATTCTGCATTTAGAAACTAGAATAATGAGATTTTGCACATTAGCTACAGCTCCTTGATACGAAACCAGAATTTTATTTTTCCTCTGTCATCATTTAGCAGAACCCATGATAGAGAGGCCTTCTTACTAGGACAGATATGATACAATTTAAAAAAATTCCTCAATACGTGGATGGTTTTGCCAGAGAGAACTATATTTGTTGAGCAGTTTGGGGCTTTTTCCCCCAATCTTCCCATTTTATCCCAGAATACTTCATTGACACGTGCAGTCCTTAAATAAAGCCTTTCAGCAGCCTGTTGCGTCTTTCATTCAGCATTTTAAAAAACATTTAAGCAAGCCATGAATGAGGTTGCTCGCTGCAACCGGAATTCCACCTGAGGCAGGTGGAATTATCCAAATTTAGGTGGTGCTGCTGCGAGGACTTGGCGCCATCTCGTGTTCAGCCTTTAAATCACTCGATAAGAGAGATTTAAACCCCGAGAGGTTTGGGGGTGGAGCAGGTAAACAAAATTTTATAAATTCTGCGGTTGGCAAACCTGCCTCAGTGAACCAAGAGCTGGTGGGGGGCAGCTGCAGGCTTTTCAGGCAGGCACAGCTGTTTCCAACATCTGCATTTGCTCTCACCATCAGGAGATGCAGGATTTACACCCTGTGTGGCTGAGTGTATTGATGTGGAGAACACAGCCCCATGCAAGCTGGTGTTCCGTGGTGATGTTCAGTCGTGGGATTTGTTTAGTCACACCGCTGGGGGATTCAACAAATGTCTGAATTCGTTGTGGAGAATACAAAGAAAAGCATGCTAGAAAGGCTTGTGAGCTACAGAAGATGTTATTAAGCTGAAAAGATATCTTTGTCACATTATCTCTTCAGAAAATCTAGTCAGTTTTTTTTTTAAAGGTATTTCTTATTAAAAAAAAAAAAATCCACATGAAATCCTGTCCCTTCAAACATCAAGAGAGACCATAACTGCAGAGAAACTGAGTTCAGCTTACCTGCCAGCTTGGAGGCAGGGCACCAGCTCAGTCTCTTGCCCTGATGGCGTGGTTCCTTGCTCCCCTCTGTGTGTCAGGGGGGTGGTGGCTCTCTCTCAGCCCTTTTCCCGCAGCCCCACACCCAGCTGCAGCAGCTCATGCCTTCTCTTTTGGTTTTGGGGCAGCCCTGGGGGCAGCCCTGGCTCAGCTGTGACGGGACAGAACGCCCTGTGCTGGCCGAGCTGCAGGAATGAGCTGTGGGCTGGGACTTGTCCCGGCTCTCGGGAGGCAAGATTAGCCTAAGCCCCTTTCATCTAACCCCAACAGGAGCCAGAGCAGACAGGGTCAGCTCCTGGGGCTCAGCTGACGCTCAGGAGCTCGCTCACATGCCCAAGCTCAGCTCTGCTCTGCTCTTTTCTGCTGTTAGTTGAGATGGGAATTCACCTCACAGGGCAGATTAAAGAGTGGCCAGCTGCAGAGCTGAGTCTCTGCTGGTTCACACCCTAAGTGTCAGTCCCAGAGCAGTCATTAAGGTCCATTACAGCAAAAATCCCACTGAAAACCCCAAGCCAAGGGCAGGGAAAAGCAGCAGGTCCTGATC